TAGTGTGTTTACATCGTTACAGGTTAAAGTATAGTTACTCTCACGGGACTTCTACCAAACCTCTGCTGGGTGACACAATTGGAGAAAGATTTGATAAGGTTGTAGAGAGGTTCCCGGAGAGAGAGGCGTATATCTTCTGTGAAGATGGACATCGAGCAACTTTTTCAGAGTTTAAACATGAGGTAAGAATATACAGTTGAACTTCTCTCCAACGGCCACCTTGGGACAAAAGAAAATGGCCGTTGTAGAGAGATGGCCGTTGTAGAAAGGTCTAAACCAGAGTCAATGACGTAATATAAACGCTTGAAAGGACATTAAACCCACTCTGCAGCACAAAAGCAAATCAACAATGGTTTCCACGACACCACGAAACACCCGCGAAGTGAGAAGAACACAAGAGTAAACGGGGATCGTGGATCTAAAATCTGCAGCCTCCCTTGTAGACGTTTTTTTGACACGCCATGATAGGCCTCTGACCTAAGCCACGTAGGTCAAGGGCGCACAAGCAGTCGAACGAAAGGTCTGGAACGAGGGTGAAAACGGAGATTGAGACTAAAAAAGGAAACTCGAAAAATGTCTTTTTCGCACACCATTGGGGCGTGTGACATTGTGCGAGGATCGCGCGCCGGATCTCACGGCTGGCGCTCCACGCCTTGAATACCAATTTTTTAACCAACTGCTTTGCAATCTAAGAAAACCATTGCAAACATATATAATTCCTGTTATTATCTTCCAGGTCGATCAACTTGCTGTGGGGCTTATTTCTCGAGGTCTTACAAAAGGTGATCGATTGGCAATCTGGTTACCTAACAGCAGAGACTGGATCCTCACACAGTTTGCTGCTGCTCGAATTGGACTGATACTGGTAGGTGCGTGTTATCTCGATAAGTAAGGACGTTAAGATCCGACGACGGCGACGGCGACGGCGACGGCAACGAAAACATCAAAACAACAACCCTGCACGCGCAACGCACTTTTTTGTATATTTCCTTGCCTTTGTTGCACGACTACGACTTGAAACTGCCTAATGTCACTTGTTAAGCATGGCGGACGTAAGTAAGGCTGACGAAATTTTCCTTTTCTTTCTGAAGTTGGATATGCATGGTTCTTAGGAATTGTAATCCAGGAATGACAAAGTTGGCGAGTTGGAATAATCGCGATGAAGACTGAATGAATTCGAATTTACTTTTTAAGGGACGTTTTCAGTTTCGCGTGCCATCCTCTTCCTCGGATCGTAAAGGTCCCTGGTGTGAAAACGAGAACCTTAAGGGTAGAAGTTAAGGGTTAAAAGGGTACATTGGGGAAAATTGGCAGCGCGAGCAGTACACTGGGTCCATATTATATGTGGCAGAGAGTTGTCTCACATCTTCTGGGTTCGTTTTTGACACAGGTTTGTTTAAATCCTGCATACCAACAGTTCGAAGCTGAATACATTTTAAAGAAGGTAAGTCAGACAATTATAAACGCCGGTTTAAGGTATGTTTTGCATTTCTTGGTCGTCTTTTCATTTCTACTCCTGAGTCTCATGCCCTGTAGTCCCCAGCCAACCTCGTTCCCAAGCTTGTCTGGAGCTATCGCGCTCGTCTCCAGGCTTTTTCCGCTCACTCGGATAGCGCGAATTAGCCTGGGGACTAGGCTGCTCTGTAATATTTTTCCGATTCGCAAAACTGGTCGTTTAAAATGGGAATTGAATTGTGATTAAGTTTGAAAGTTGTCGCGTTCTTTCGAACTTTCAGTAATTATACATATTGTTTTTCGTTTTAAGGCAGGATGTAAAGCGGTAATAATAGCAGATGAATTTAAAACACAGAATTTTTACAGCATGATGGCAAACATAGTACCAGAACTACCTGAGGCAAAACCAGGAAGTCTTTACAGTACAAGGTTGTTATGCTCGGGTTGGTACTTAGCCTGTGCCACAGACGAAGCTAAACTCTGGTTAATTTACTAACCGAGGTTAAATTGCGTCAGGGACGCAGGCTAGGTTACACTATACCAATATTAGTCCTGAGGCACACCTACCAACTCCGCAGTATGACCATTACCTTACGCATGCGCACAACCATATCACCCGGGCACATTGAACATCTTAACTGAATACAAGGAGCCGCAAAATAACATGTTTCAACTGTGGCTGATCGCTTACTGGAAACTTCAAGCAAATTAAAGTACTTGAGTACTGTGTAGCTATTCTCTTTGCGATAACTTTGAAGCAATATTCAGTGATAAGTAAATTGAGCAGCTGATTGGTTAGTTCGTTTTAGACCCCGTTTACACGCTTGTCCGGTCAAATTTTTGAACGGACGAATTTTTTACCTGTGCAACGCGTTTATACGGGACCTACTTCTGATCAGGTGAAAGACTGGCAGCCTCGTACCCAGGGCAGTTCGCGCTCTCCGAGTTACCAGAGGAGGCCTGGAATCGAGTGCGATAGCTCGGTGAATTTTCCCGACAAACTTAACAGGAGACGTCACATCCGAAATCGTCGAGGACGACTGGGAACGACGCTGAAAAACTGGAACATTTTGCCGTTCAAAAACTGGCAAGGTTCCGCGGGTCCCGTGTAAACACATGCACGTTTTTAGTCGCTCAAAAATTTGTCTGGAGCCATGTAAAGGCGGGAGGCCTTATTCATCTCCATTTTGGACACATGTGCCAGAAAACGAAAGTAGATTTAAGTCAGTACATATGGACAAGATGGGAAGTACATAGGGTATAACAAAAAGCAAAAAACGATAGATAATTCAAAGTTGAACTTACTTGAAGTATTCAATCACACTCGGCTCACAAACACAGGCAAGGCACACACGAAAAAACCGATTTCAGCCTAGCTTGATTGAAGTAAAAGCCTGTCCAGATCTGTTGACAAAAGTAAAAAGGTGATTCTTATCCTAAAGTGCTTTCGTTTTGACATTATGTGAAAGCTGGTTGCGTAATTTTCTTAACTCTCTCCTTTGTTTTTGTTATAACTTAGACTGCCGGAGCTGAGAGATGTGTTTATTGTGCACAAAACTAGTGAGCCATTCAGGTCAGTATCTTATACACCACAGTCGTTTATCATACGTCTGGTTGTAAAAACAATCTATTGTAGGTTTTCATTGCTGCAGTAAAACAAGCATTGGCAGAGCAGTCAGCGGTGTTTAAGGTCTAGAGCGAATTAACAACGGAGCCTTTCATTTCACCTAAAAGTAACGAAAATACAGGCTGAAAATTATAGGGTTACGGGACTTTCACAACGGGATACAGGATATTTAGACAAGAGATTTGGGGAAATGGAGTGTCAGAGAAGCCTTCCCTGACTAGAACAAGAGGTATAGTGATCGATAAGAAATACTACAGAGCTGGAGCAAAATACTTACAAATAAGATTGTTTGCATTTTTGGGTCGAATATTAACGATTTTGAGCCCTCGCAAGGAGCCTCCTTTTAAGAAGAAAACCCTTCTCTTTCCTCAAAATGACGTCACCATAAACAGTTTTTGGTATTATAGGGATACAAAGCGGCGCCGGAAATTCAGACCGTAGATTTAATGGATACGAGATATGCAGAGCCCCCTTGATGCAGCCTAGAGGAGCTTATTCAAGATGTATCCTATTTGCTTACCAGGCCCTTGCGTGGGAAGTAATGGGCTCAGAAAGAACGGGACGCGCGATGGAGATACTCGAGACACCCTTCCCTCGAGTGTCTTCCTCGCTCGGCCCTTTCTTTCTTGCGCCTTCTTTGCACGTTCTTTCAAGCGCCTGTTACGCAGGCTGAGTGTATTAAGGAGATGAAACACTCTTGCAAATTGTACACAATAAGGAGTAACGTAAATGTACCAGTTAATTAAAAAACGTGGCCCATGGTCCAAAATCCCGCTAAGAATGATTGGTAAATGTGATTAAACCTGACAGGGGAACTACTCCATTTAAAGAGCTGAAAAATGGATCTGTTGATGTAGATGTTTCACAAAAGATGAAGGAGCTAAAGAGAATGATACAGTTTGATGATCCTGCTTGTCTTCTTTTTACATCGGTGAGTCCACAAACAGGTTTTATCTTAATAATCTTAGAGGATTTCAAAATAAAATGCGCTTTGGTTCAGAGCATTGGAGTGGGGTGTTACAGTGCGACTTCTCGAACCTGCGAGGCACTTAGAAGAAGATTACCCAATCACAACGTATTTTGAAAGCAAAACTCTCAAGTTTTTTTTCAAATGAAATAATATCAATTAATAAATTTGAGGGCTTTTTCCTGAGAGGTGAGGTGCGTTCAAACGGTTTTAAAGTTTTCAACGGTTGGATAGTTGAACCTTGATGTCATTTGGTCCGTTTGCAAAAAAAATTTGAGAATCTATTGTTTTCCAAAAACCGTTGTGATTGGATAATCTTCTTCCAACTGCCCCGGTTCAAGTAGTCGCACTGTAATGTCCCCATCACCTGGAGGCGATAGGCGAGGTCAGGTGTAATTCGCGGGCTGAATTCATTTTTTCCGTCTTCTGTTTATGCCTTTCATTTTTGTCCTAGATTCAGGATTTTCGGGAGAAAGATCAGTTTTATCAGTCCGCCGATACATAAAGATACTAGAAAAAAGACAACTCCGACATTTACGTGGCAATTCAAATGGAAACTGCTGGGCAGTAAGCCTAGTACTGTGAGTCGTTTCCAGTTTTTTCCCATACCCTAAAATCTTTATATTTCGAATGTTATGCAACATGCCGATGCTCATAATTCGAGCTTGGGCTACCTGTGGTTTGCTGAACTATACAAAGTGGTTTCGCTGACTAATTCTGAGGATGGAGTACTGATTATAATTACTAAATACCAGGTTCTTTAATTTTCAAAATCACGTAACAAGACAGGACATTGTTTGTGTGTTAATTCTACAGGGAACAACTGGACATCCCAAAGGTGTTACGTTGACTCATCATAATTTAGTTAACAATGCTGTGCTGGTGGGAGAGAACATGAACTTCCAAGAGGTTAGATAAGAAATAGTTTTCTTCTTGAACAGGAGAGTAAAACGCTGGGAGGCGTGCTCAGTAATCAGACAGAAAATTATGACACAGTTAAGACGTTTTATTTCCGACCACATCAGACGATTCCTACTTTGTCAATTCTTGTAACACGAGAAAAAATCCTCCCAGTCATGTACCCAATAGAAGCAGTTGCGAGAAAGAGCCTCAAAAAATTCAGGCTTAAACTGGTTTCAAACCCATGACCTCTGCGTTTTTCGTGCAGGGGCCCGTTTCTCCAAAATCCCGATAACTTTTCGGGCCGGAAATCAAATATTCAAATCGAAATAAAAGGAATAAGAGGCAGAGCGCGGGTCCTGGCTGGCAAAATACTCCATTTTGTTTCATTAACTGATAGTTTTATCATGTTAGATGGAAAACTATTGAAACTTCTATCTTGCGTGTAAACAACGACAGCTTTACGGGCCCGTCAATTATCGGGACTTTCGAGAAATGGGCCCCAGTGCTCTTACCACTAAGCTATCGTGCTAACTGGGATCTGGCAGGTGGTCCCTTTGGTCAATTCCCGTTATTCAGAAGCTTGGTTGACAATTTTATGCTGTTAACGAACTGAACATGGCTTTCGTATCTACCTTAACTTTGACGTTTTGTCTCTCTTTGCATTCAGCCGGGAAGAGTATGTTCTCCTTGGCCTCTATTCCACTGCGCTGGTCTCTCTGTTACCAGGTTATAATGTTTTGTACTCTTTTCGTTACTTTGCCATTTGAAGACCTGCAATATTCAAATTCATTTCTTTAAAGGTCTCTCTGGGTTTCTCTGCTTTCCACCTTCTAGATAAAAGGGAGTATTAGCATCGACGACGGCGACGGCAGCAAAAACGTCACTTTTCATGACTTTTAAAATGAATTAGCGTTTTTTCAAACTTTGTCGCGTTTATTCCAGTTCGCTGAAAAAGTCCAATGTAGGCAAGTTTCCCTGGAGTTGATTTCTTGGGGACCGCACTCAAATTTAGAAAGAGAAAGAAACTTTCATTGTCGCTTGTTTAGATACTCCATAAAACGCGAAATTAGGCATTTTCACGTCGTAGTCGTGCAGTAACGCTAACGAAATGTACAAAAAAGCGTGATGTACGTGCAAATTGTTTTGCCATTGTTGTTTTGATGTTCTCGTTGCCGTCGCCGTCGCCGTCGTCGTTGGGAAAACTCGAAAGTGAGGCTGCCACATTATGAGGTTGTGGGCGACCAATTAGGCTGAAAAAACTGAAGACGTCTTTATTAAGACAACAGTCATAATCAAGATAAACTAAATGATTGTTTAAGTCTTTACATAATTCGTTTATTACTGAGGTGTTAAACGTTTATACGTAAATTCATAACTGTTCATTTTGTAAGTCTGAACTTTAATCCATCCTCGGGAAAGTGATACGTAGGATTTTTTTCTTTTTTAAAAAAATTTGTGTGTAGGCATTACGGGGCAGTCTTTATAAGCTCAGTTTCCTACATTATTTAATAATTCCGCCAAATAAGAATTGCCTTTATGTTTTGGTGCAGCATGGTTTGCATGGAATGGGGAGCAACTGCTGTCTACCCATCTCGTGGATACAACAGCACAGCTACTCTGAAGGCTGTTCACGATGAGAAGTAAGTGAGTTTTCATTGCCAATTACGAACATGTGTGGCAGTGCAACTAGTTCTCATTTTAGTCACATTTGGCAAACTAAGAGAATGGTTTATCCATCCAAAGACTTTTTTTTGCACGCTTTGCTGTTCATCGCCTTAGAATTATACAGCTTGCTGGTTTCCCTGTGCCTAATCATCTATTTGCTTCTTATTTTACAGGTGTGATACTCTGTATGGAACCCCCTCAATGTTCCTTGATGCCCTCGCTAATCCTGATTTGAACAAGTTTGATCTTTCCGCTCTACGAAAGGGTATTGCTGCAAAAACAAGCGACAAGTGTAACCTGCCTAGCAGGCGCTTGCAAGTAATATGGGCGCAAGAAAGAACCTGGCGCGCGAGGAGACACTCGCGAAGAGAGGGGGCGTGTGTCCGTCGCGCACTCCGTTCTCGCTCTCAGTAATAACTTCCAAGCGTCTGCTACATAGGGTAAAAGAAGTGGTCAGAAAATGTGGCGCAATAAACCATGAAAACAAAATACTAGAATGTAAAAAGAACCGCGCCAGGTTTCGGGAAAGATTTTGCTTTTTATCTGAGTTCTCCGTAGGCAGTACCAGAAAATGCTGCTCAATAGCTCTTGAGTAAATGATCACTCATGGTTAGGAAAACCTTTATGGGGGAGTCCGATTCTATATATAAAAAGGTTATGCTTGGCTACGAGGCTAAGAGGAACAAAACACTTCTCTCGTTCCATTTCTTTCGCTTTTTCCCTTAGCCTCAAACCAAATGTGAATTTCAATGCACGGAAATTAGCCTGAACACGCATTTTTCCTGTTCATTAGAGCAGAATCAGAGAAAAATCCATCCACACTTTCTGACAAAATTGTCTAATTTTTGTCTTTCTACTGACTTGTAGGGCTCACTGGAGCATCATCGTGTTCTGCTGAACTAATGAAGCAAGTTGTATCCACTTTGAAAATACAATTAACGGTAAATTTCTTTTTATGTTTTTTATCCAGTTGCTTGTATACGTACGTACAGTGAAACCTCGATATAACGAACCTCTATGTAACGAAGTCCTTGATATAACGAACGATTTTCTTGACCCCAGTAACAGTAAAATATATGAAAAAGAATCTCGTTATAACGAAAGCTAGTTATAACGAACAAATTTTGCCACCCCCTTGGCCCTTCATTAAATTGAGGCTCCACTATAGTATGGTACTAAAGCTTATTGGTTTTTCAAGCACTCGTCCAAAAAGCAAACAGCAGGGTGGACTAACTCACTCGTGTTAGATAACAGACTGAACTCAACCATAAAATCAAGATGGCGACTGCATAACATTAGGGAGCTTAAGCAACTACGACAACGACCAAACCTGGTGAAGTAAACCTCATGTAAGTGCCTACTAATCCATTTATGACGCCTCGAAACGGTTCTTTGCGGGATCTTTTTCTCATGGCCTTCATCAATCACACCTGTAACTTGAATTTTCGCTTTTCAGCTATAAATTGTAAACTTATTTAGTCCAACTTCTTTATTTGTTGGTAGAATACTTTTAGCGTTTTCCCTGTTATAGATTGTCTACGGCTGTACAGAATCCAGCCCGTTGGTTTCTGGAACATCAATAGCCAGTTCAGACGAAAATGAATTGTCCACAGTGGGAAAGGTGTTTCCACACACAGAGGTCAGATGTGCTCACTGTTAAAGCCACTTCCTTTCACCCAAATTAAAGTATGAATCAGAGTATAAATACAAAGCATGAAAACAACACAGGAATTGAATTAGTGTACTCTGTAAACACGCAATCCATGCAGTGTTTTTAAGGGCTTGTAAAATGCTTTGATAAATCGAGTTCACTTGCAGGCATTTTCGAAAGGATTTGGTAGAAGTGTAATTACTCCTACATTTATAATCGTGCCAATCACTTTGAGAGCCTCTTATAAGCTAGTACTTCAAGACTTCGTTAAAGAGAAGCTGCTTAATTTACGTTTCAATGTATTTAGCACGACCGTACCAATCGAGGATACTCTTTTTAAGTCTTTTTCTGGAGATCTGTCGGCATTTCTACGAGCCACGCGATCACCTAGCCATTTCTAGGGCAAAGCCAAAACCTTCATGCCGTCTCATTCAAGACCCCGAGTATCGGTCCGTCCCAGATAGTCTAACCCATGTCAGTCTAGCGCTCTACCGACTAAGCTAACCTGCTTGAAGTCCCCAGGCTACATGCAGACCACACATGTAACTCAAAGCCATCGCCGGGCTTTATTATCTTGAAACAGGCAGTATCCTTAGAACAGGACAAAATACGTTCTTTTTACCTTCACGGTTACCTCAGAATTTCGGGGTTACGGTGTGTATTTAATTTGTTTTTCCTTCCAAATAACTTTAAGGAGAAAAAAGGAAAATTATGCAATCTCCCTTTCCGTACGCGGCGATTACTTTAGTTGTTTCCGCGATAACAGTGGTTTTTCTAACACTCGGGAAAAACGTCTTCGATTTCATTCTTCTGGCGTGTCAGTAATTATCATTGTTTGTTTCTTTCTTTTGTTCCTTAATAGATAAAAATTGTGGACAGAGAAGGGAGTGTAGTGCCGGTCAATACCACTGGGGAAGTTTGTATCCGAGGGTACTGCGTCATGATGGGATATTGGGGAGAGAAAGAACAGACGGAGAAAGCTGTGGGACCGAACGGATGGTTACACACCGGGTAGGAGTCCACAAGTAAAGTACGGTCTGTTACTCATGCTTAGCCTGCATGACAGGCTTGGAAGGAGGGGATCGGAGGGGAAGAGAGAGGGGAAAGGGAGAGTGGATTAGGGTGAGACGCCTGTTAATTTCTGCGGACCTTGTCCGGCTGGTGTCCGCAGATGTCTGATTGGCTGATACAGGCTCCCTCTCCCTTCTTCCTTTCTAGCTGTTCTCCCTTTCTCCCTTCCCCTTTTTTCACGCCTGCCATCCATGCTACACATACCTGGATCAACTGAAGGAAGAAAGAATAGCCGGAGAAAATAGTCCCCAACCCTACCGGGTGAGGTTCTGCTAGAGTATTAGCTAATAATATCACAGAAAAAATATGTTTCTGGAGTATTATTGAAAATGGGAAGTGGCAACGGTCCACTCTTGATATGGGGGAAAAAGTCCGTGAGTATATCGTGTCTTTTGATACCCCTGGGGGGAAATATGTAAAAGGGAATTGGGTTATGATACCATGACTTCACTCATTGGTGATTCGGTTTTGTTGATGCCCCTTTCACCTTTTTTCTTTTTTCATTTCAAAATCTAAGAATACGATTAACAAATGTTATTTCACTTTTGTCAACAGCGACCTCGGGACGATGGATGAGCGTGGCTACTTGAGAATTGCAGGAAGACTTAAGGTAAACGTGCAGGTTGAGCTGACCAGCATCTGACATTCAAAAACCAGAAAGTAAGGCATTTGAAAAACAACGCTTACATGAACATACCAATGCAGCACGGAAGTATTATCACTTACCTGTCTGTTGCTTGTTATTCAGTCAGTCAATCAATCAATCAACCAATCATTAAGTCAGTCAAATTGTCAGTGAGTCAGTCGGTCAATCCGTCAGTGAGTCAGTGAGTCAGTAAGTCAATCAGTCAGTGAGTCAGTCAATCAATCGGTCAGTCAATCCGTCAATCAGTCAGTGAATCAGTCAGTCGGTCAGTCAGTCAATCAGCTAATCAGTCAGTCACTCACTCAGTCAATCAGTCAATCGATCAGTCCTTATGACCGTCTCATGTCTGTTGTTTGTTGGTCTGTCTGCACTTTTTAGTCCTCCACGTTTGGTGCTGATCCCTCATTCAGTATTCTTACCTATGTCTCAATTTATCCAACAGGATTTAATTATTCGAGGAGGGCAAAACGTTTATCCAGCTGAAGTTGAATACTTTCTGCATACTCATCCAAAGATACAAGATGCTCAGGTAAAACGCATTATGGAGGCAGGGGTATGTAAGGCTTACTGCAAAATATCGTGATTTGTCAGTGGCGAGTAGATCAATTATTTGCCGAGTTTGTTTTTTAATGAATACAGTCATGGATTGCAGACGATCTGCCATTTTCACGCCAGAGCAGTTGCAAGAAGGAGAAAAGCGTGGTTTCACTTTTACGCATGAGCAGAATATTATTTGCAGCCAAGCACTGCACATAAGCAGACGATTATTTATAGGCAGCTATATGCCGGATTACGTGGTGAGCCCTCAACCAATGAAATGGAAGAAAAACAAATAAATAAAATAAATACATAACGGTCTTAAGGTAGCGCATCCACTAAGTGGTTCTTCGTCTGCCCGATTCCTGGTCGAATTGGAATTTAAAAAGGGTTGGTTTTTAAGGGGAGGGGAAAACCGGAGTACCCGGGGAAAAACCTCTCGGAGGAAAGGAGAGAACCAACAACAAACTCAACTCACATATAGCGTCGTCGCCGGGATTTGACCCCGGGCCACAATGGTGGGAGGCGAATGCTCTCACCACTGTGCTACCCTTTCTCCCAAATTTGCGTCGAATGATGAAAGAATTTAATGATCCTCGAACTTTCTTGTTTGAGGTTCGAATCTAAATTAGGGTCTTAATCAATCCAATACTCCTCAGGGTGGCCGGACTCTACTATGTTCGCTTAGGTTTTGTTCATCTGATGTCAGATTTTCTTTGATCGATAAGGTGATAAGTGTCCCGGATGAGAGACTTGGAGAGGAAGTGTGTGCTTGGATCAAGTAAGTTAACTTGCCTCTAAGCTTGGGTTGTAGGCCCAACTGGCCATATTCGTCATGGATTCGTTCCAACATATACATCGTACTAAAGAAGACGGAAAGCAGTGGAAAGCCATACAATCATAGACAAAAGTCTTTGGACAAATCTGCGCTTCTGGCCCGTTTTTATACTCATTAAGCAGCACATGTTCAGTTCCGGTCCCACCCTACATCATATTGAATCCGTGTACTGACATAGGTTGGGGTAGGGGTAACTGCAAGACGTTTTTAAAAAGATAGCACCGCTAGCATCCTTTCCTAATGTTTCACTGATTTATCGTCAGGTTATGGAAAGGAGAAACTATGACTGCTGGAGAATTTAAAGACTATTGTAACGGTCAGGTAAGGCATGTTTATCAAATTTCATGGCCCTCGGTTACAGATTCGCAGGATTTCCATCGCCACATCTTTACTAATAAACCGATTCGTTGTATTTTCTCTAGAGTGCTCAGTACATGTATTGAAAAATGCTAGAACTTTTGCGAGAAATCATCTTAAACCCTTAGCCTTTCGAAAGAAGATACGGTAAATAATATTCAAAATTCTCACCTTCTCCTCATTTAAGACACTTTTTTACCCGGAAAAACAGGATAATTCTCTATCATTTTTTTAGACTGTGTAGTCTTGAACCCCATTTACAGAAGATGTGGGATATTTAGTTTCTGTACGTGTATTAGGTATAAATTTAAAACAGGTCCAATGTTATTATAAGTCGAAATAAAGAAAGTACGATTTCCCGCGTGATTGCCTCTCCTAGTTTATGCATTCTTTTGGCGCATCTGATTTGGCAATGTTTATTCGATAGATTGCTTATTATAAGATTCCTCGTTACATTAAATTTGTAGACGAGTATCCGATGACAGCTTCAGGAAAGGTGAGCGAAGTGAAAGTCATTTCCTTGAAGATTGATACACGTTAGTAGACGTTATAATTGGTAGTCACGTTATAGAAGAGACTGTTTTAGAACACACGTTAGTAGTATAGAAGGGACTGCTTAAGACACTTTAGTAGTATAGTAGGTACTGTCTTAGACACGTTGGTAGTAAAGAAGGGACTGTTTTAGACCCGTTAGTAGTATAGTAGGGACTTTTTTAGACCCATTAGTAGTATAGTAGGGACTCTTTAAGACACGTTTGTAGTATAGTAGGGACTCTTTAAGACACGTTTGTAGTATAGTAGGGACTGTTTTAGACCCGTTAGTACTATAGCAGGGACTGTTTTAGACCGTTAGTAGTATAGAAGGTACTGTTTATACCCGTTAGTAGTATAGTAGGACTTTTATAGACCGTCAGTAATACAGAAGGGACTGTTTAAGACACGGTAGTAGTATAGTAGGTACTACTTTAGACCGTTAGTTTAATAGGGAGTTTTAGACGGCTTTTTGTGGATAGACGTTACTCGCTCTGTATTTTGTTGTCTTATTCAGACCATAGCATGGTATACTGGGAAGTCGTCTCAATGGAAATTTGTATTCTATTCACACGCGTTCTTCATTTTCAACTTGGAGAAAGTAGCCTACGAGCAAGCTCCCAATTTGGGGATATCGTAAGAAACCACGCGCGAGTGGTACTTGAAAGAAGACGGCTCCTCGTTGCTTTGTGGCTTGCCGCTCGTTCCCATGTTCAGTCCTGGTTCACTTCGCTAAGCACTCGAAAGGGAGAGCTTTTTCTCTGGCTAGGAGAGAGAATCAAATCCCCTGAGCCGATATCCACTATACCATAATCTCAGTAATTTAGGTTTTTCAGCCTTTATCTTATCCACTGTTTTTTAAAGTTTTTTTTTGTAGTGATTTGGTTCACAGATTCATGATCAATCGTAGTTTCTACCTGTTAAGAAAACCAACGGCATCGTTGAAAAAAAAACCCGAACTGTTCATCTGAATGATCATACTTTACGATACCATACATTGCCTCAAAAAGTGTACTGCAGCCCTGTTTAATCAACTAATAGTTCGACGAGAAAGTACTCTATATAATAGTTTCCCTGCGGATCAACAAACATTTCATTTACTGGGTTTATCAACGAATCCACCCGGTGATTGACAAAGAGGCGCCACCTTCCATCCGGAGTCCTTATCAACAGTATGTTGTAATTAGTTGTCGTTTTCTTCCATTTTTCCTCACGCCTTTCACTTTGTTTTTAGGTTAAGAAGTACGTCATGAAAGAACAAGCAGCAGAAGAGTTCCAATCCTATTTAACTTAAGAAAGGCAAACAGCAAATTGTGAATATGGTTGTGCACACCGAAAATGACAGCTAGCTTTCTCCCTTCGTTGAAATCAAAATAAGGAAATTAGGGATGAAATTATAACCTCACATGTAGAAATGAACGAGGGCAGGAAGGGAGGTTAGGAAGAGCACATGGAAATTATTTAGAAATCCAAAATTTGGTTCATTTTACATCTTGTAGACAATTATTTATTTTCGCTGAAATTTCAACCAGATATCTCCATGTGTAAAATTGGTTTTGCATCGATATAATTCGCACAACGTAGGATATATACATTTAGTAAAATCCAACTAGTGGTCTATTATCAATGTTGCGTTCTGATTGGTTGAGCTACCACTAGGCTATATGTTACAGACCACTAGTAGCGAAAAGTGCCAGCTTTGAAAACAATACAACGGAGGCTGAGTCGCGTTTTGCTAGCTTAAGTCGTTTTGTCTCGATATTTTTGACCAACTAGATGGATTTTACTAAAACAATTATTCCTCTCGCCCTCATGGCCTCTGAGCCAATGGCCCATGAGGCCGACTCAGAGCCCATTCGGGCTCGAGGAATAATTGTTAAATATACAGGTGCTTACTTTCCTTACAGAGACAATAAGTTCTAAACTTTAAAATTTTTATACATTGTAACTGACAACAAGAGATGATATCGTTTCATTTTGCCCGTAACACTTTTTTCAAAATATTTTTGATAGCCTTATCTCCTTTGCGTTAGAAACGTTTGGTGCTTTACCGAACTGTTGGGTTGGGCATATACGATGATAGATAATTCTTTAACAGTTTGATCCGCCTTTAATTTAATTGCTGCTGTTTGTCCAAGGGATACCGACTGCGAGGGCGACTATACGAATAGTGGGAAAAGAAAAACTAAAACTAAGTGAAAAATTCAAATTCCTTCTTACGAAAAATTTTAAGAAATTATAGAACTATGCAAACTTTTGCCGAGCAGGTTTGATTCGTATGTGTAATCAAATGGTGACGAGTGAAATTAGGGAATAATTTCACGAGTATACCATTTGATTACCTATTAATATCATGGGTGACGAATTACGTTTGCAATCTTGGATTTTTGACATGTTTATCCTGGATCGTATCGATCGAGAACTCCACTCTCTCAAATGTTTAGACCTTAAATTTGGCATATAAAGTTCAGAATTTTTCAGACTTTTTCGGCAAAATACCTGTTAGAATCCTTGTTGATGTGCTCTTGTGTGTTCAGGTTTTCTAAAGCGTCTTTTTGTGCCCTGACATCTTCATTCACGGCATTTTAAAACTTCGTCGCCATCTTGACACTGAGAAGTACAGAAGGGTTGCCATGGCGATTTTGTAATTTCACATGTGAAATTACAAATTAACGCTGAAATTTCGCGCCAAAATTAAGGAGTAATTCGTCACCTATGATATTAAAGTTATAATTACTAACCGATTGGTTCACAGATTTTAACGTTAGAGTAACAAACCACTCTGCCATTTCAGGAACTTTCTCCTCCGCAGAGGCCTCTTTGCGTCTTGTGGAGGCTGGGGAGAGGGAAGAAAACAAGCGCGCGAGAATGATGGGAAGGAAAGAGACTTTCCCTCTTCCCATCGTTCACCGCGCGTTTACTAGTTTTTAATTTATGCATTTTTGTATTGGAATACCCAACGGGAGCCTCTCCGAAGGAGGGAGGACTAGGAAGGGTTATTACTAAGCTCACAAATGTAAAAAGAATTTGTACTTTAATTATTCCATAAACAATTATGACGTTTTCAAAATCCTTCACCCTCCCTTCAATGTCAATACTATTGTCATAGTCTGCAATCATTGAGGATAGCACTTCAAAATCCACTGTCATTAAAAAACGTATATCATGTTCGTGTTTCAGTTTTCAGAAAGGTGGTTCAGGTCCTGCCAGTAATCACAGTGGCTTAATTAGTTGTAAATGCCGTAACATTGTATTTTTCCTTTCTCTCTTGTACGTTGTTTTTATTTTCCCTCCATGTAAGTGTAAGTATTGTCATAAGAAGTGTTGTAACCAAATAAATGTTACTTAAGAAAAAAAAGTAATCACAGTGGCATTGTTTAATATTTTCCGTGTTCACATTAGAATCCTCATTTGTACTGTGTATAGTACGTAGTGTGGTTCAGCCAGCAAAGAGAGTGCAATTACAGTTCACGCTGTGAAGATCATTTCCAGAACTCTCTATTTTGTGTATTCCTGTGAGTAATCAGCTACCATCAGCTCTGATAGGCAATGTCACGTACGACCAGTATCACATAAGGAGACCGCATCTTGTCGCTAGACCATCAGTATGTTCTTGGTTAAAGATTTAGGTCTTCTTTTGTTTTCTCCCTCATGACGAACTTCTTCACCTAGAAGGAGACAATACGTTGAAAATACGAATTAAAGTCCTTGTTTTGCGGTTGAATTCACTGGCTTATCACAAGAAGTCTTCACACAAACTTTAAACGACCTAACACGATTCAGAATGTGCAGCCATCAAATTGGTCATTTCCGAGCCTCTCTTTCAGAGGTAGGCTAAATGCGAAGACATTGATCTGAAATGATTTCTCATTTTTATGCAAATAAAACTCATTTTCACAAGAAAGGTTTGCAGTTAACCTCGCTTGCTTTCAAAGTGAGAATTGTTGGAACTTGGAAAAGACCTTTTCTTTTGACAGGAAAGTCAAATTCTTTTCCCTCATCCTATCCCCATCCTCACAGACACGTTCACTTACCATTTGCGTTACACCCACCCCCTCAAGTTCCAAGCTTTTTCATTACCCTCACCCTCTAAGGTTCAGTTCTTACCTTTCCCGTTACAGTGAGAGGAAATTCATCGACGAACGTGATATAACGAGGAATTTTATAATGAGCAATCTGAAAAATACACGACAAGAATGTAACTAGTATTGAAGTCAAAAAGTAACATTGTAGATTAAAGTTCGTAGAGCATACCTGGCCTTTACAAAACTCTTTGATCTCCTCTTCAGTGGCTGACTCACCAGCGTGTAATCTGAAAGAAAAAGTGGCTGTTAGTTTTATCCAAACGATTCTTTATATTCCTGTACTCGTCTGAAAATTAAGTGAGAAGGGTTCTTTATTGGATAAGTTGACAAGGAAACCTTGGCTCACGAGCTAATGGCAAAGCTTGCCCCTCTTCCTCCTCATTTATTAGGCCCAAGCTACTTTTTATTATACTAAGCTACCTTTTACAACGTTCAGCCCTGCACTACAAAGCAGAGTATTGGGTTATACCTAACAAAGGTTAAACTTCATTACGGGCGAAGAACCTTTCTTTTAAGTGGCGAAAAACCTTTTAATGAACTTCTATAAACCACAATAAAAACTGAAAGAATAAAGACTTTCTGCTGCCAAGCAAGACATTTTTTTTCAACGTGGCTTCGTATTGACGTTTCTCCAATCTGTATAGTAATTTAAATTATTATTGCATTTAGATTTGTTAACCGTAAGTTTAAATTCTTAGGGCCTGTTTACATGGAAGTGGGGGACCCGAGGTAGGTGGGGTAACCCGCCTATCCATATAAACTCTCATTTCACTGAAATATATTTCATCAAGTTTACATGTTAGGTGGAGTGACCCGCCACATGTTACCTCACCTACCTGGGGTCCCCCAACTCCATGTAAACAGGCCCTTAATGTAATCAGCCAGCCTTTGAGCTGAACGGGCCTTACTTTCCCTTTACTTCAACGAGTGGGAAAACATCATTTTTTTCCCGTAACCTTCTACGGAAGGTATCAAAGCAAATTCAAATGTCATTATGTAGAGAAAAGGAATATCTCACTTGATCCACGCGCAAATTTCTTCTCCCAGCCGTTGATCAGGGACGCCAATAACCTGAAGGTAAGCCAAATAAAAAAAAAATCACTCTTTGAGGAACTCCATTCATCATTCATGCAGGGGAACGCTATCAGATGTCCGGGCTTGCATTGTCAGATACTCCCTTTTCCAAATTTGGTCCATATTTTCAACAACTTGAATCGAAATTGACCATTCTGAAGTTGCACTTTAAAGGGTGTAGATGTTATTCTGTCAAATTGTACTATGGCGCTGTTTTGGTTTTGGGGACACATTTTGACCCAGTTTCCCGCCAAACTTCGCAACCGCCAGTGGAAGAAGTAATAGTATTCAAACAACAACCCCGTGGTGCAATTCGACACGAAACCAATCTAGTTTCATGCGTAACGTCACATGCCCAATCCAACGGGGTACACCCCATAATAGGCTGATTTGGCAACAGAACGGTAACGTCAGTTGATGACGGCGCGCGCAAATCAAACAACTGGCTTGACCAATGGCACAGCGGCAAATTGGGCACCGGAAGTCGAGTTTAGTCCTTACCGCGCGCTTTCCCGTCGTCAAATGACGTTCCCGTTCTGTTGCTAAATCAGCCTTAAGGGCTCATACGGGCCAGACGCCTGAAAGGGCAAGAAATTCACGTGCTCAGGTATATGAAAGGGGAAGGAAATCTGTCAATTCGGGCTGTAAAAGGACTTAAAAGCTGCCTAACAGACGCATACTAGGCTGTGAAAAGGACCAGAAAACTTCCTTGGTTGGGTGATTTGTTCATACTAAAAAGACGGTGCAATAAAAGATATATGAAGTGGGTGCGTTTTCTGTCAAAACTGGTAAGAAAAGGGTAAGGGGTCAGACCACAGGACAGGGCCTCCCCGTTAGGGTTATAACTTTGTGGAGTCTTCCCTCCAGGGGAGGGCAATATGCCAACAAACAAAGAAACAAAGAAACAAAAAGCAACACAGTTCTCTAAGAGCTTACATAGCTGAATTTACCTGAACGTCCTGCACTTTAGGATGCTTGTACAGAAACTGCTCCACTTCTGTGGGGTAAATATTCTCTCCTCCACGAATTATTAGATCCTTGACAAGAAGCAAAATACCAAATTTTAGGAGGCTTTATTAAATCATTGGAGTGCATTAATAAAAAGGATGAATGTACCTTAATTCTTCCAATGATCTTTATGTATCCGTCTTCGTCCATTGTTGCCAAATCCCTTCAAGAAAAACACAATCATGATAACGTGCTCGAGATACTCCCAACTCCCGCCACATGTAATAACAATAATATCATAATAAAAGTAGGTTGAGTATGATCGTCCGGGTGAACGTAGCCCGGAATAGGACTGTTGTTGTTGACAGTGACTGACGTTTCGACATTCTGTGTGGTAGTCATCTTCAGAGTCAAAGTGAGTTGTATCACGTCAGTTGATGGTACTATACTCTGGTTATTGATCTGATTGGTCAATTACGTCGCGATGTTGTTGGTCGTCGGTCAGTTAAGCCGTGATGTTATTGGCTATGAAGACTCCTAATCAGTAACTGGTGCGTTTCGATCCGTCTATTGTCACAGTTAAACAGTCGTCTATTGTTAGTCAAATTTGAAATGGCTCCTGAGTTCAAACCTTTTACAATATAGTAATAGTTGCGGTCACACTAGCCAACCACCGCGGTCAAACGTCTAAATCGTTATTTTTGTTTTTTATTGCTGGGATTTCATTTACCAGTTAGAGAAAAATGGGCAAAGATGTATAAATCAGTTAGTCAACATAACTATCTTTCCATTTTTCTCAAAATTTTGAGCTTTTTTCGCTGAAAACGCTTCGCGCTAAAAGAGAATCGTGTTTGAAAATGGCGCCGATAATAACGTCAGCATCGGTTTTCAATCACTTAGAACTTTTTTAGTAAACTTTTAAAAAGTTTAGTAAACTAACAGGATGTTGGTAATACCCTAAACTTTCGATAGTGAAAGTAGCAACCTTAACTTTGAAGTATTTCGCTTAACTTTTGCAAATTTCACTCGTTTGACCGCTGTGAACACCAGCCATGGGTAAATGACTCTTACCCACGGTAAAGCAAGTTTTAGCGTGTGACCGATTTTTCTAAGGTGAAATTGCCTCGGGGAAATTCCCATGAATTCCCCAATCACACGCCATTTTAGCGAGTTTTAATGTTTTGGTACCATAATATTAAAACTTGCTAAAATGGCGTTTATAGGGCAGGAAACAGTAAGAAAACAACACAGACACATCTCTTCATGAGGTATGTATACTGTTTATGTACATTTTAACCGTTTTATCGATCATAGGATAAATTCCCAAACAACTCCTTATAATTTGGTTTCAAGTAGGTTGTTGTGAGTCTGGGTCGCCTGTGGCTCTATGGGTTAGTACGAACCCAAAGGGGCTCAACCAATCACGAGACACTGAAAAGCAGTAAACAGTAAAAATCAAGTGATCTTTGTGTGCTGTATTCAAATTGGCGCCAAATCTTACGCCCTACTATCGACGTGATCTTAGGTATACAACCAAAAACTGCAAGGTCTGGATGAATCGTAATCGTTGTCGGCGTTGACGTTCTCATCTTAAAAAAGGTTCTGAACAACTAGTTTGCGTTTGTGGTTGAGCTTGTAATGCAAGCACTAGAATCACCGAAAACATCACATGCTTCGTGCCATCAATCAGTACAGTATTTCCCGACAAATCGGTTAAAGGTTTACCATTCCCCATGGGCAATTTTTAGAGTGTTACCGCAGGCGTGAAATCGACTGGGAAACAGTGGAAAAGACGTCTAGTGTGACCACACCTAATAATATGATATTTCTATAGCGCTCATCCTTTTCAATACTAAACGCCATGTCACAAATTAAGCCACAACTGCTTTCATGTCATAAAGGACTCACCCACTATGGAACCAGCCGCTGGCTTCAATGCAGGCGTCAGTTTTTTCCTTATCTTCCCAGTATCCCAGCATGACACTATACCCTCGAAAGCATATCTCCCCGGAGGTATTGATAGGTACAACACGTCCGTCATTATCTATGATTTTTGCCTGAAAAAAGAAAAGTAAATAAAGTCAAACCCCGCTTTACGGATACCCTCTTATACGGACAACTCGTTATTACGGCCGCGAATGAGCACAACGGACAGCTTTTTCTGGTCCCCTGCGGGATACTTTAGGACTTTTTGGTTGGGGATGTGCCGCTGGGACTCTGGAACCCTTAACCTATACCAGAGCTAGTTCAAGTGAATTTTGATACCCTACACTAGACTAAACTCCCCAAATCCCCCCCTTTCCTAGAGTAGCTGTTTTCCAGAAGCAACTGAGGTCACACGCACAGTCCAGCCAAATCAAAACCGATTTGATTTTTTTATATTCTTGGGTGGCAATTTCCGGTTTCCCTAGTCTAAACTAAAATCTTCAGCCGATTGATCAGTTTAAATGGAAAATGATACCCTCGCCTAGACCCAAACTCTCTTATTTATATACCTTATCCCAGAGTAAACTGCTTGAAAACCATACCCTTCACAGCAGCACATACCTATATAGCCCATATATGGCAGTACCCCCCCGTTACTGGTCCAACCAATGCATTCGAATAAAAAGTTAACCTCGCCCCTAAAAGAAGCTTGGTTGAGAATACCGATCTAGACGAAGTATTAGTACACGTCAATTAACTGACTATTTTGGCTATAAATGAGTTCTGAGCGACGTTTGCGTGTTCTCAAAGACTGTCCTCAGAGACATAGTGCTCATGCTGATAGTCTGTTTTACTTCCTTATGTTTTGATCCAATTTGGCCAATAAAACAGCATGACATGACTATGGACACCAGCCTCTCACCCAGATGTCACGCAATCCTCGCCAACGAAGCCCTGAGAACGTCTGCGTGGGAGGCTATATGGAGACCTACTTAAAACGGAAGCACTTTCTGTAGTCCTCTCAGCGTGCGTATTAACGGGGGTTGGACTGTAAACATAAAATATCTCATTTAGCAGCATAATTGTTTGTATTGAGAGCGGCGTACCTCGCAGTTGGGGTGCACTCGTCCTACCGTTGAAACTCGTAAATCTACTGGATCATCCATCAGCGTCTGAGCTGTGACCGGGCTTGTTTCCGTTAAACCATAGCAGATCTACAGCAAAATCCATCACATCAAGCTCACAAATTATCAGATTAAGTAACAACTGCTTTGCCAATTATAACGTTTACTCGATAAACACCCAGCTTGACTAAAGATGATGTATATACGATCGAAACGACTTGCAAAGACGATTTTTAGGGTAGCAAATGTTGGAACAATGTTGTGCAACGCGATAAAATGTCGCAACAATGTTGCAAACGAGTTTCCGGGGAAGAAATTTTCGAAAATTCAGGTTTACCTCGCGAGGTGGTACTCGTTTTTTCGGAAACCCGAAGAGTTTTGTTTCATTCGCTTCAGGGAACAAGTGCTCGGAATTCAATTCTAAACTGGACTTTAGTTGTTGAATGCTGGAAAACACCTTAACAGTCATATTTTTCAAGTAGAGTCATTCTGTATTTACCGTGACTTGAGGCATGTGTAGTTTAGTTAAGACTTGTTTCATAACTTCAATTGGACAGGGTGAACCAGCCATGACGCCTGAAAGACATATGCACGAAATTAGGACAAATTCTCTTCCCCGTCCACCTTTTTCTGAATTTAATGTAACAGTCAGGTGATACCTCAATCATAAGAAAGGAAAGACAGTTATCAATTCTCAACAATCTCAGCAAACAGAATAAGCCAACCAGCAGATAGCTGGATGAAAATGAAAAACACACAACTAGAAAGCCAAAGCACGCCGCTTGTTTTGCATGATGCCTTTGATTGGTTAAGAGCCAACTTCGTTTTCTAGTAAGTTACGAGAAACTACATGTACATTATTAGAGAAAACAGAATACTATAGTTATCTATCTATTATCGACCTGTATTAAGACTGCTGACATCAAATTTCTCAAACGCAGGGTGGTTGAGGACATCGATAAACATTGTAGGTGTTCCATACAGAGAATTACACCTGAAACAAAATGCAATGTACTTTCTACAGCATAACCCATTCTATGCAGACAAGTAAACAAACAAAAAAACATACACAAACAAGGAGAGCATTCAGAAAGTGAATAGGCCAACCAGGGACCTTTATACGAGAAATGATATGTCACAGCGTACTAAATCTAAAACCTTGTAGTAAATTTAGGTCAGGGATCGAGATGCTTAAGTGAGATGAGAGTTTCGTGCTTGCGTTCAGCTTTGAATTCAGGACTGAATTTCAATGACGCGGCAATTTTTTCATTGCTGTCAGTTACTGTTTATGGTGCACACAAAGGTTTTACTCTGACACTGTTGTATGCACCCCTTGCGGTTTACAATAACTTCTTACGTTTATTTCTAAACATGTGAAGGAACTTATTAAAGAGCTTTCTACCATTGCTTTCCTGTAATGCTGCTTGTTTCCAAGTTTTTTTAAATAAAAGTTGGAATTTTTCGAGGAATTTTCCTGAAAGTGTTATTTGAAATAAAAAGAACAAAATTCTAACCTTTCTTGCTGAATGGCCGTTAAGACAGCTCCAGGGTCAAATCCTCGAGAAGGGTAAACTGACGTTGTACCATAGACTGCACACATTAAACTGAAAGGAGAATTGTAACATAAGCTTAGTTGTTCTAGCTTACAATTTAGCGGGTAAAGCACTCAGATACCACAGAGCACAGAGATAGGGTAANCTTTCTTGCTGAATGGCCGTTAAGACAGCTCCAGGGTCAAATCCTCGAGAAGGGTAAACTGACGTTGTACCATAGACTGCACACATTAAACTGAAAGGAGAATTGTAACATAAGCTTAGTTGTTCTAGCTTTCAATTTAGCGGGTAAAGCACTCAGATACCACAGAGCACAGAGGTAGGGTAACCCCGGCCATCTCTTGCCAATATCCAGGGCTGAAGTCTAGTGTTGAGATTAGCAATGGGGACTAGCGGTGAAAACAGCCGACATTTCACGATGCCACCACTGGTTTCCCGCCAAATGACGTCTGAGGGACGACTGCAGAAATTCCAAATTGATGACGCATCACTAACCAGATGGGTAGTGCTTCTGATTGGTTGAGGCAAATTTCCCACCCGGCACGACCAATCAGAAACACTAATTTCATTTCCGAGTCGCCCCAAGCCTCTGATTTAAAGCTAGGCTAAGTGGAAAGACATTGATATGGAAATGATTTTTAATTTCATTTGCACAAGAAAGGAATTGCACTTAGCTTCGTTTTGAATATGAGGGTTTTTGGAACTCAGAAATGGTTTATTAATTTTTACTGTTTCAGCTACAATACATGTAATACAGGAACAAATCACGTTTCAGATTGACAAACATAGCAGAAGATTGGATACCTTCCTAGCACCATTCCAAAACAGTGGTAAAGTGGAACAGGAATACAAATTCTGGAATACTAAAGTAAATAAAACAAACAGTAGTTAAACCTCTGGCCATTTAATTTCCTGACGTGAGCTACTGATTACTAAACTTTGAAATTTTACTGCCTTTTTGAAGGCGCACCACTCTGCTACCTGAATACCTAATTTTAAAAAAATCATGACACCAAAAGTTTACAATCGTGAAAGCTTGAATGAGTAACTTTCCCTTTCGCTCCACCCTTAAAAAAATTACCTGATTCTCATAATTCAAAACTTCTCCAACATAATGTGCATTGTTAAGAATTCCATGGTGAGACAATGTTGCTCCCTTGGGATTTCCTGTTGTGCCCTGTTTAAGGAAAGAAAGTTTAAATAAATTGGATAATCAACTCTTACAAGTCAAAGAAATGAGGTCAAAATGTCAAAACTTTGCAGTGAAACCACTCGTCTGGTGCTGTCGTGTTACAACTTGAGTTTATTGACATTATGATGTCGTTTTTTATGATTTAGGAAAATTGTAGTCCATTTGTTTGTTTGTTTTTTTACAAAAACATTGACATCTTTTTAAGTCTACGTTTCCAGGGGAAGTTTCTTAATATAGTGAAATGCAGGAAACAAAGAAAAACAAATTGCAAAATCACCAAATCATTTCCCCCCACAGCACTCTCACAGAGCATAGCTTTCAACCCATCAACAAGCAAGAAGTCACTCAGTCATTGTGAAAATTGGAATCTAGAAATACAGTCGACTCCCGATAATTCGATCCTTCAAGGGAAATTGAAAAAAGTTCGAGTTATCAAGATTTCATAGAAATTGACTGAAAATAAGGAAATAAGTAAATGGATGGGAAGGGAATGCAAGAATCATGCACTCTTCACTTCAAGGGCAGCAAGAGTTGTAGTTTGATATTTTTAAAAGAATCAAGCAGCAAAGATTGATTAATTACACAGGGATGAACAAAGAACTTGAACTGGGGTGATATAAAAATAAAGACAAAGAATTGACACTGTTGTTTATCAATAAATTCAATGTTTTGGACTTCAGTACACTGTTTTTTTTTCTGACCTGTTACGCTCTTAAAACATGGCTCGAGATATCGGGGGGTAAAATTATATAGAAATTGTCTGAACGGAAACAAAAATTACTTCCAGTTAGCGAAGGTTCGAGTTATTGAGGGTTGGAGTTACTGAGGGTAAAATTACAGTAAATGTATGAAGGAAATTTAAGGGATCCTCATGCTACATTTTAGTAAGGTTATTACTTACAGAAGTATACTGTATGTTGATTGGATCGTCACTTTGAAGTTCTTTCTGTAAATTTTCCACCTGCTGTCTGTCCTCTATGCCTCCCATCTCCATTAACTCTTGAAATGAAAATGTCCCACTGAAAATAATTACAGTATCACCTATGTTCTTCTTGTAATAGGAATGGCTAAGCCACACTTTGATAAATCATGGACAAAGCTCCCAAATTTCTTTCAAACATGATGATCTGCTAAGTGTCTGAAAAATGTTAAAATCTTGAGATACTCACTTGAACACTCTTTCATGATCTTTACTTGCCATCACCACCAATTTAAGATCAGGAACTCTGTACACATCAATATCAAATTAAACATTAAATGTTAGTGATGCAAACCAGATATCTTAATGAAGCAATATACTCGTAGCTGTGAATATTATAGTCTGACTGTCTATTTATTACTAAGTGCTTTAAATCACCTCATCACTTGTACTTCAACTAGTAACTACATTTTTTGAGAAAAGGACTTACTAACTGTCTTTGTTGAGTGAGCCTTGCTAACTGCCTTGAAATATTGCTCCCTGTGTGCTGCCTCAAGCTTTCAAAGAGACAAAAAATGCTACAAAAATACATTAACTTACTGAAAGAAATTTTATGACCTCTTTCTATTTTAGAGATTGAATGTGCTAGATACAGTGAAAGACTAGGTAAAATATCACTTTATTTTATTTAACAAGTCATCAATCCCTACATTGTTAACTGGATTATTAATCTGTTATTTAGTGGGCAACAAAGAGTAATAGCTGATAGTAACATGACCCCTTTTTAGCCTATAAAAAGGGGTGTACATCAGAGCACTATACTAGGGCCTGTTCTTTTTCCGTAATGTTTCAGAATGATATACAAGCTGTTGATTCTGACAGAAGCACTTTTGTTAAGTTTGCAGATGACTTAACTTTAAGTGTGTTGGTTAAGGGAACCCAAGACTAAACTCCCTGCGAAGTAGAAAACACACTTAGTTGGGCCAGAACAATCTTATGACTATAAACCTCACTACAACCAAGGATATGGTTTTTAAGGGTAAAGTTGAAAGACCTCTCCCCACGTCTACTTTTGATACATGTGAATTAAACAGAAAGCATTTCTTAAGCTTTTAGGTATTTACTTTCTTAGTAACCCTAGAAATGGGGACAAGCAAATCGATTCTCTTCCTGGCAAAGCAGGAAGGCGTATGCACATATTGCAAGAAGTATGCTTATAGTCTAGTCTCTTAACACCTCCATTGCATCTTTGACAGGAATAGTTTTATCATTTTTTCTTAATATTCCTAATTTTCCACAGGGAAATGTCTTCAATCTTTGCCACATTATAAAAACAATATTGTTTAATATTTTTAAGTGGAAAAAACATTGGGTCGTGAAGATGATTTTGCCAATATTCCTTAATTGATATTTTTCTTAATAAAGGCAATTAGCTCTTACAAATTTTAACAAAATGAAGACAGTTTGAAGGTAAGTACTGCAACTGTTAAAAAATAAGACTATTTTTAAAAAATTGACTGAAGGAAAAGCGTGAAAATTTATGGTTAGTTTTACCTTTTTACTGCACTGGTACGTCACAAAAATCAGAAAATAATAATAAAAACCTCTCACTGTAGAGATCTCCTGGTTTTGAGTGTGGAAGTTCATGTACAACATGTGTCAACATCTTGTAGTAATCTTGGGTTTTAAACTGATCAGCCATTATAAGAGCCTTGCAGCCAACCTGTGAGTCAGTGATAAGATTTTAAAGTGATGGTTATAATATTAAATGTAAATAAAAATGCAACTTAAAACTAGACCACCTAATGGAAGACAAGGCACTAGCCAGTAATTCCTAGTTACCTTTTTCAAGGCGTACTCCATTTCTGGAATTTGGTAAGCAGGATTAATGTTGACCTATAGAAAAACAAGAACGAAGTTATAAGGCATTTGCATAAAAGTACTGACATCCTTACTTTTTCAAAGTGCGACAAAACAGATACTATACTAGCCCTCAGGCAGGATGGACATTGCTAAATAAACATTGTACACAACACAGTAGTGTAAAGCTCCAGCTATTGTCCTCATCTTTCTTTATCGTGATTAATGACAACAGTAACTTACCAGTACCAGTCCAGCTTTAGCTGTAGCAAACTGAGTGATGACCCATTCTCTGGTGTTGGGACCCCACATCCCCACACGGTCACCTTTCTTTAAACCCATGGCCAAAAGTCCAGCAGCAAGATCATTTACCTGAATTCAAACAATAATAATATTTATGATTATCTCTCAAAATGACAAACACAAACACAATAGCAGATGGTCAAGATCTATCCGACAAGAGTAAATGTTTGTCTTCTCCCCAAAACAATAAGAATTGGCAAGCAAAGGCACTATAATAGGGAAATCATCCATCACTTGCGTGTGACTCTATGCTTGAGTTACATATTGTTCAAACTTTGACACTGCCGTCTAGCACATGAAAGTGCAATCATTTTCACGATGGACACTTATATAGCTCATATCGCTGCCTTGAAAAAAGCCCATTCAAACTCCCTGCCTAAATAACCTATCGATCCCATTAGCAGAAAGCTTTCAACTTCCTCTGCTTCAAGAGGGTGTCTGCTTAAGGGAGCTTTGACTGTTATGCTTACACAATACTCAATATGCAGGTTTCTTGTGTTTTGGCAGTGACACACTTTGTGCCTACTGGATTAATTGGGTATGAGAAAAAAAACTATCTTGAATTAACCTACATCACCTTTGACCTGATGCAACCCTTACCTCCTCCTGAAAATCAGCAAACGTTGCTCTTTGATTGTCCTCACAGAACACATAAGCCTCACGGTCTGGAAATCTGTCAACAGTTTTGTCCAGTCTCTGGCCAATGGTTTCACCAATGAACCGTTGTACAGATAATCCTTGGCAGTAACTAAATTTCAATTTTTCTTGATCAGAGCTGTCAAACAAAAAAATAAACAAGATTGTTGTCACGTTTCAAACACAATAACTGTAATAAGGTGAAATACCATTAGTGCATTCCTTATACATTATAATGTCCTTGGAAGCAGTGGGCAACTGACAAAACCTGGATCAGAGAAGATCACATTCCCCCCCCCCCCCCCNTCTAACGACACAACCATGGGAACCACAAGACCATCTAGGGAGACCTGGCCAGGGATCCCTCCAATACAGTACCGCTTAAATTATGTAAGTTACCACCCTCTCGCGAGATGAGACTCTTGGGTCTCAAGACGATCGAGAAGCTTATCTCTAGAGATGAGACACTCGCCTCTTGAATCGAGACTCTCATCTCGCAAGGGTGGATAACTGTCAGCATCAAGCGTCTTCGGAATTTTGACGGACTTCACGACAAAACTACTTCTGTGCACAGCTTTGTGGTCATAACAAGTTAGACCTCCAATTCCTCAAGTATTCTTTGATAAAGATTGCGATTTTCATGTACAGTTTTGAATGAAACCTTTCACATCGAAAATGGCATTGAAACTAATTCAAGTGAGTTTATTTATTTATATATTATTAAGAATAAGTGTACATGTGTTCTTATTGTTGGTAATATAATGTGCTAACTAAAAAAGCAATTGGAATAAACTTCAGAATTTCCGGCAAAAGTATTTGCCTGGCAGTAGCACATCTTCATATAGGTTACATATGTGCAACACTATCATCTTGCCCTGTTAACGTTAGGGCCAGACTCTTATAAAAGAGGATGTGCTATGCCGCGTCCAAGATCTTCTTTGTATGTGGCTGAAAGACTGTTTACTAAAGAATGGCACTGAAAAACTGCTTTGTTGCAACAAGTTCAGTTTGCATTCGCTACGCGAGGCGAAAAATGCCTGTGCAAGAACGAGATCTCGTCTAGTTCTGTCATGCTCTGTATTAAAAATTCTGCAAACTGGAGATTTCATACCTTGTAGATAAAAATCGACTCTTGCCACAAAAGCCACAAGACATTTCCTTGCAGGATCTCTGAATCCAGCATGAATACAACCACCGACTGCTGCATTTTCCAGCTGATGAATTCCTAAACAGACCCTTCAAAATAGCCGCCATGTTGATGTTGTCGAATTTCTCATTCTCGTCCCCAACAACTGTTTCCCAGTCCTACTCGGTATTCAATATGGCTTCAGTGTTCGCTTTAGTGAGTGACGATAAAAACAGCAACTTCTTAATTATGATTCCCAAATTTCTATATAGCAATCAACATTTATATTAAAGGAAATTCGACTGATTTTTTTCACCTTTAAATTGTTAGGCCACGAAACCTCCCGCCAGGGCCCCGCTACCGCCCCCGGAACACCCACCCCAGACTGGGGTGGAACAGACGCCCGTGGAAAAAAAAAACGCCTTTTTTTGTTAGTTCGTGCGTCAGGAAGTCTGGGTTACACAATAACAAATCTCTTTTAGTTTGGGATGAATTGTTCGGTGTGACCCCATTTTTCATAGAACACTCATAAAAATAAAGGTTTGAGGTAACCAAATTTGAAGGGAAGGCCCGCACACCCTATATCTAGCCTCCCACGCAGGCGTTTTCAGGGGAGCTCGTTTTTCATTCCTCCCCACAAAAACGAGCTCCCCTAAAAACGCCTGCATGGGAGGCTACGCACACTCCGGCACACGGGCCTTGCAAAACAGTAGTGTGTTATAGATGTCACAGGCACGAAATAGATGCAAATTATTCATCATGATCTTACCGTCATGGGTATAAATATTGAACGATTACTTCTAAAAGAACTAAAACTGCTTGATGTGTTACACTTTGGGAGTTTGACTACTTACTTAATTTGATTTTTGCCGAGATCTGTTAGGATCTCGAGCAATTGAGAGTGAAAATTTTGTGCATGTATTTACTTCTGCCGGCGATAACTTCAGCCATGATGCGGAAATCGAAAATGTGTGACTGACACGGAAGTGACAAATCTTGATCCATTGAAAGTGAAATTTTGGCCCGCTTAAGGAGTCGAAACTTTATTATGTAAGAATAAATTAAATTCTATATTGGCACTCAATGAAATCAAGCAAATATACATTAATCACATCTGCTGGTTACTTCGCCAATAAAACGACAAAACATGGTTATCCAGAGTTTCCTTTGCTGTTTCAGCATCTACGAAGGATCTTGGATATGTGGAATTTTAAGTCTGGTATAACAACAGCCTTAAGATATGATATATCTCAACGATTTATTATGACTGAAGCAATTTTGAAAGCTACCGTATTTTTTCGCTCTTCAGATTCTTGGTGTCTTGAGAGTCGGCCTTCAGTGGTTTACACTTGTGTTCCGTCATCGCATGACGAAAGAGGCAAGAAAGCTCTTACCTATCAAATTCAGCAGTAAGTTAACTGAAAATCAAAGTGTGAATCATTTTAAGATCATACTGAGTGAATTACGCTAAATATTGTATCATTATAATATCGCCATTGCTCTTTTGCTTGTAAATTTTAGTCGTTGTCAATGTAAGATTGATGCAATGTATCTCAATGTATCGAGCGTTGTTTTCTTAATGATGATATGGTGGGTTATTCGCAATTTCTGCTCATGACTTCCTGTTACGTTAAAAACTTAGAGTGATAGTTTCTTGTGCAGAACAAAAGTCTATGCAGCCACATCGATAGAAGCCTGGATCGAAAGGTCCATGCCAAGAATGTGAAAAACAACTGGAATATCATTCTCGAGGAAATAATTTTGTTGTATATTAGTAGCATAGACTTGGGCTAGCACGTGTGAGAGCTCAACAAAATGCTGACGCCCCATTACCTGCTCGAAAAAACTTAGGACAAGAACTTTTAGTTTCTTTCATCGGCGCACGTGGCCCTTTGCGCATAAATCGCGAGAGCTGGAAGAATTGCAATTGGTCGAGCGGGAATGCACTTTGCTTGTTTCATGCTTTCAGATAGTGGATCACTGCTTTTCCTGCTTACTTTTCTCTGCGCCGTTTCTACTATCTAAATGCCTGCAATAGGCTAGAATTCAGCCGATCAAGACATGGATATCTAGCGTGGCTGGCGGGCGTGAAAACACGAAAGGCGCAAATCCCCTTTCTTCTTTGCTTGCTGCTCCCCTTTCGAACCCTTCCGGTGTAGGTTAGTTAAAAAACTGTATTTTAACACTAAATTTACGCGATGGATTAACGAGAATGAGAAAAGAAGATTTGAAAGAGCATTACTTTCTTGGTTTCAGCTCTCCGACTGATAACCATCTTTCAGATATCTGTTGCTGCGATTTCAATGGTCGTGGCTGTCGTGATGCTAGTTGGACTTTTCAAGGTTAGCTTTTGTAGACTGCTAACAGTCTCTCTTTTTTTCAGATTTTGTGTAGCCTGCGAAAACATCCGTTTCTCCCCAGCGGCGAAGAGCGAGGAGAAACGGATGTTTTCGCAGGCTAGATTTTGTGAGGGGAGTGCACGCACACGAGCGTTGAGCAGCGAGGCCGCGAGACCCTTAAGTCACGGGGTCACGTGCGTGGTTATTTTCGTGTCTCCAGCGTTTCGCTCGACGGACTAAGAAGAAAGAGAGACTGCTTGTTTTCTAGTTTTTAAGACATATTAAACTTTATCTTTTTACAGCAGTTGGCAACTGAATTGTGCAATACTTTTATTACGATTTTTCGTTTCGTTTCAGCGCTGGCGATGGTTATTATGTCCTTGGATGGTGTGGGTTGTATTAGAGGAACTGTTTTCTATTCTTGTTATCATCTTCTATGTAGTTTATGGAGTCAAGGTGTGGTCTCTCTCTTATAATCTTCCTAACAGTTTCTGCGTTTTAATCAACCTTCTCCAAACGATCCGTAGCTTAATAATAATAATAATAATAATAATAATAATAATAATAATAATAATAATAATAATAATAATAATAATAAATCGAAAGTGAAAGGAAGAACAACGAAGGTGCGTCAAAAATAACGACAAAAACAAAAATAAATACATGACCTAAAGTTACAAGCAAACAGACGCAACAACTCCCAACAATGTTTGTAGTGTTGTTGCGTTCGTTTGCACGTGGCTAAAAGTTTGACCAGTTTCAAGCTTTGCGCAACAACTCCCAGCAAACGTCAACAACATGCAACAGGGTGTGCAAACGGATGCAAGATCCAAAAATGTTGGGAGTTGTTGGCCACTAATAAGGCGTTCGTTTGAACGGGGTTTTTTAAAAGAAGAAATTGCGGGAGCAGCTGAAAATTGTCAAGTCTTGGAGACAAATAATAAAAACTTTCTAACAGTCGAAATGCTTAGTTCCCGTTTGAAAAGTTTAATTTCTCTAAACGTCCAAATCACAGTTCAAGAAAGTTGCCTAGTATGTTTTTCAAGAAACCAACAATTATCAAAGACAGGGCAGATATGTTACTGTTTCACCATTTGGTTGGAGGGCCCTTCAGTGAAATATGACCAAATATGTATGTAACAATGCAGTACCATACCGTTCAAGCCATCATTTGCCAGTTACTGTTGAGCGGAGTACACACACCGCAATCGAATGCAAGAACCTTACATTTAAAATGGAGCTTGTTAGCTTTGCACATGGGGCAACACCCTAACTTGCTCAGGTAATAAAGGCGAAGGATTTCTCAGTTTATCGGGAATCAGTTTATGGGGAATCCTATCAATCCAAATTAACTGGAAACAAAAGGAAGTTTTTACTTAAGACAACGGTTCAACTCCCACAGGATTATACTCGCCGGTTTGGGACACCAACATGATCGCCGTTATATCGTCAGGGAGACCAATATTGCGGACATGAAGATGAAGAGATGAGGGGACCAGGGCACTCCGCCGTTTCCCTTTGTCCAGATACGAGTTTCCACCCAGCCCCGGTCATAAATCCGCGGAACGTTATGTGCCTACACTGAAATATATTATTATCTCTTGCAGTTGAATTGCTCGGTGTACATATCTGATGCAGTAATGTTTTTCATCTTTGTGAGTAGTACAATTTTATGCATGGGAGGGGTGGGTGAGAGTAAACGCTATTATTGGCTTATTACAGTGAAACCTTTCTTAAGCAAACGCTACCGTCTGGGAAGTCACTTTTTTTAAAATATAAATTTTCTGAAAAACAAAATGTGTATTTGGTAGACACTTGCAAGGGTCCCGTGGGGGTTTTCTTAAAAAAGGGGTGGAGGCATTTGCCACATATGTGAAAAGCAGTCAAATTTGCCTGCTGGAATTTCTTTAACAATGAATGAACAAATCACTCATGAACTTACAAATACGCAAAAAATTACATAGAGGATATTACACGGTGGCGCGAAGATGTGAACTTTATTTTCGAGTGGCAAAACAATATTTTACGAACGAGCGCAGCGAGTGAGTAAAATATTGTTTTTGCCAAGAGAAAATAAAATTCATGTCTTCAAGCCGCCGTGTAATGTCCTTTTTATTATAAAGACAAAAAGACATCTATAAAATAATAGAGGGAAATGACCGAAATTACGTCATCGATAAACTCACGTGTGAGATTATGGAAAATAAACCACTCGGGTCCCGGATGTCGTTTTTATGAATTTTACGAGTGGTTTTTTTTTTCCAGTAAAACACTCGTGTCTATATAATAAAAATAAATATTACCAGTATGTATATCCTATAAATCGATTAGATAAATAAATGTTTATCTCCTAATTAATCATACTCTAACAGAAACACAGGCAGATTGTTAATGAAACTAGCACAATTAATAACCATCAGATTTTTTTACAGATGTACTTCGTACTGTGCGTTTACTCATACTTTAAGGATCTAAGACGACAACAGCTCGTCAGAATGGTACGCATAGCTATTTATATTCACTTTTGAGCCCTTGCATATATATGTAGCTATTATCAAATTGTTTAATGCAAACTTAGCATTACAGTTGGAGACAACTTGTATAATTTACGATCATTTCTTTCCTTTCCTTGACTTTCGTAAGAGCTTGATTAATGACACTGTTTACCCTTTAAGTCCCAAAAATGACAAACATAAATTTTCTCCAAACATTATCAATGCACAATTATCAAGAGAAAAAATTGTGAGGATTTATGAAATAATCACCTAAGAGAAGATGCTTTGATCTTCTACCAAATTCTCTC